CTGAGACGGTAACCTGGTATATTGAGGATAGGTAGTAGGAAGCCCAGCCTGCTGTCTTGTCCTGTCTGCCTGGTGGTACGTGTCTGACTGCCCCTCACTGCGGGGCGTCTACCAGGGTTTGAACTCTGCTGACCTGACAGTATTTGAAGTCCGCGGCATCACGGCTAACGTATGTTGAGTTATGCAACCACCACCTTCACGCAGGACGGGTTTTATGTGTAAATTATATAATTACCTATGTCAGCCAAAGCTTGCATACTTCACTAGTGTGATGAGCGTATCGTCAAATACAAGCTTATTATTATTATTATTATTATTATTATTATTATTATTATTATTATTATTACTTATTATTTTAATGCACCGGCCGTATCCCACCGAGGTAGTGTGACCTAAAAATTTAGTAATTTATACAGAAGGGGTTACTATCCCCTTGCTCCTGGCATTTTAGTCGCCTCTTACGACACGCATGGCTTACGGAGGAAGAATTCTTTTCCACCCCCCCCCCCCCATGAAGTGGAAAAGAGGTTGAGGTGGTGATTGTGGTTGTAGCTCTGAACCCGTGGGAGTTATACATCTTGAAGAACATACAATCAACCCACCTGAAGGGGAGAAGATATATGGAGGAATGGGGGGGGAGAAAAGTTTACAGATGGAAAACTGGAAGAATTAAAGGGGATATAAATAACGTGTTGAAAATATACCCAAGACAGGACTCGCAACAATGCGTTAAGTTGTACAAGTATAGATTTAGAAAGGATATAGAGAAGTACTGGTTTGGTAATAGAGTTGTGGATGAGTGGAACGAACTTCCAGGTAGCGTGATTCAGGCCAGAAACTTGGATAGATAATTTAAATATATAATGGACCGATACACTGGTAGTTGAAGGCTGACTCTCCTAAGCGTGGGACAGTAGGCCTACTGTAGTGTCCCTTCATCTCCTCTACAAGGTCCCAGACTATGATTAATCAGGTTACTGGTGCTAGCGGCACGCAGTTCAGCGCAGGTACGTACCTTTGAAGAATTTCGAGAGTATATCTACTCTCTGAGCCCGGCCATGGGCCAGGCTCGTCTGGTGCTCGCCTGGTCAACCAGGCTGTTGCTGCTGGAGGCCCGCTGCCCCACATATCCATCACAGCCTGGTTGACCTGGCACCTGGTGAAGATACTTGTCTAGTTTCCTCTTGAAGGCTTCAACACTTGTTCCAGCAGTGTTTCTGATATCTTCTGGTAAGATGTTGAAAAGTCTGGGACCCCGGATGTTGATACAGTGTTCCCTTATTGTCCCCACCGCACCCCTGCTCCTCACTGGGTTTATTTTACACTTCCTCCCATATCTCTCACTCCAGTATGTCATGGCAGTGTGCAGATTTGGGACCAAGCCCTCGAGCACCTTCCAGGTATATATTATCATGTACCTCTCTCTCCTCCGCTCCAATGAGTACATGTTCAAGATTTGCAGGCGTTCCCAGTACACACACTATCGACAAGTGCCTTTGACAACAGGTAACCAACCACTAGAGGTACTTAAGAATAAAGGCGACACAAGAATGAGGTCTTTAAAACAAGTACGTGTATATACCACATAAGCGGGATAAAAACTAAAACAACAGTCATGTAGAACTTACAGATTAACATTAAAGAGTTTTCAGAGGGCAGCCTCTGTCATGGCAGATCTTGCTAACTAACATTAAAGAGGAGACCTCAGAAGGCAGACAACAGTTATTGCAGAACTTGTAAATCAACAATATAAGAGACTTCAGAAGGCCGACAACAGCCATGGCAGAACTTCTAAATTAGATGTTAAAAATAAGTGGAGCCATGTGATAAAGTGGGACTGGAGTATATATATATAGAAGTTGAAGAGTCATGATGAGCTTAACCTTCACCGAGTGGCCTTAAGTTCCCCGCCATGAGTAGATCTTTTCTATCACATGAAGGATTCTCTCAAATATTGACAATTGTTAATAACACACGTACGTGTCTACTACAACATTTATTGAGGTGTTTCGGTCATATGAGAGAAATGTCTCATCAACAGGTAAATATCCTAGCATACAAGTCTTATTTACGACCTTGGACCAGTTTGGTGGTAACATCGACGTATACTAACCAATGCTCAACGTCAGTATCTTAATGCTTCTTGCAATGTTACAAATCATGTTTTTTTATGTTATATTACATAAACACATAACAAATTATACTTAACTACAACTAAACAAAAGATAATACGGCCCCTACACGCCTGGCAACGCGGTGACGACGCAATACAAAAAAAAAAATCAGATCTGCACGAATATATCTGACCCATGCACAGCACTAGCATATTTTTGGTAAGAAAAATGACTTTGTAAATGGTCCAAGTAGGACCGAAACAACGTCGTAAGCTCCTCTCTTCTATATACGGGTTATTTGTGTATTTGTAAGAAAAAGTTTCCCCTTCCAATATAGAAAATGAGAACACAATATATAATACCAAAACAGTTAATATATGGTAACTATATATAAAGAACACTTGTCAATGCTCAGTAATAACCCACATGGAGACAAAAACTCGTTAGATTAATTAATTTGTGTATTTCGATCCCCTTCTGGGATCCTCTTCAGCAGAAGGGGATCGAAATATACAGATCCATTAATCTTCTGAGTTTGTCTTCATATAGGTTATCACTGAGAACTTAGGTATATTTATCGCCAACAATTTTCGGCAATAAAGTACCCAATTACAGACCGATAGCGCTTACGTCCAATATAAAAATCTTTGAAAGGGTGTTAAGAAGCAAGATGGCCACCCAGGGCAACATGGGTTTAGAGCAGGTCGCTCCTGCCTGTATCTACTACTGGACCACTATGTAAGATCTTGGATGCACCGTATACAGTAGTATACGTAATGTAGCATAGTATGTATAGCAGCTGGTTGTCAGGTGTGGTGTATGGTTGGTATGATATGGTATGAGGTGTTATAATTCGACAGACGACACTTGATCGCTGTGTTCTGGTGGGACGCACAATTAGTTTAGCTGAGAACCTGTACATCCTGTAACTGATGGTATTCTGGTCGACTGTACTGCAATCACTGCTGACTTCAGAGACAGCCGTTTCTGCACGTCATACTTCTTAATGATCAATCTGACTTCATTCCAAGTCGTAATTATCTCTCTCTCTAAGTGCGGGTTATATGTGGATTGTTCCAGTCACCTGATAAAAATGCCATTTGCATCTTACATCTTGTTGGCATTTCACAACATCACTTATCAAGCCCTTAGACACCCAACGTAATGTTTGCAGAAGATAGAGCAGTCAACTCAATAATAAAGACTGTAGAACTGGAAGACATTTAGAAGACTGGATGGCTACCTTTGCACACACTCGGAAACGATGCTCACTGCTGATATACCGAGTATTATTACAAATATATATACTAAATACCCAAAGAAAGGGAAAAAAAACTGTATCAGGGAACGAAGTTGTGACCAGAACCCGTTACTAGACCTTCAGTACTTGATTACCTAACCTTCTACCCTGCCTCACATGATCTGCAAGCCTAGCCTCACGTGATCTACTAGCCTAGCCTCACGTGATCTGCTAGCCTAGCCTCACATGATCTGCTAGCCTAGCCTCACATGATCTGCTAGCCTAGCCTCACGTGATCTGCTAGCCTAGCCTCACATAATCTGCTAGCCTAGCCTCACATGATCTGCTAGCCTAGCCTCACGTGATCTGCTAGCCTAGCCTCACATGATCTGCTAGCCTAGCCTCACGTGATCTGCTAGCCTAGCCTCACATAATCTGCTAGCCTAGCCTCACGTGATCTGCTAGCCTAGCCTCACGTGATCTGCTAGCCTAGCCTCACGTGATCTGCTAGCCTAGCCTCACGTGATCTGCTAGCCTAGCCTCACATGATCTGCTAGCCTAGCCTCACGTGATCTGCTAGCCTAGCCTCACATAATCTGCTAGCCTAGCCTCACATGATCTGCTAGCCTAGCCTCACGTAATCTGCTAGCCTAGCCTCACATGATCTGCTAGCCTAGCCTCACGTAATCTGCTAGCCTAGCCTCACATGATCTGCTAGCCTAGCCTCACATGATCTGCTAGCCTAGCCTCACGTGATCTGCTAGCCTAGCCTCACATGATCTGCTAGCCTAGCCTCACGTGATCTGCTAGCCTAGCCTCACATGATCTGCTAGCCTAGCCTCACAATCTGCTAGCCTAGCCTCGCATGATCTGCTAGCCTAGCCTCACATGATCTGCTAGCCTAGCCTCACATGATCTGCTAGCCTAGCCTCACGTGATCTGCTAGCCTAGCCTCACATGATCTGCTAGCCTAGCCTCACGTGATCTGCTAGCCTAGCCTCACATGATCTGCTAGCCTAGCCTCACGTGATCTGCTAGCCTAGCCTCACATGATCTGCTAGCCTAGCCTCACAATCTGCTAGCCTAGCCTCACATGATCTGCTAGCCTAGCCTCACATAATCTGCTAGCCTAGCCTCACATGATCTGCTAGCCTAGCCTCACGTGATCTGCTAGCCTAGCCTCACATGATCTGCTAGCCTAGCCTCACGTGATCTGCTAGCCTAGCCTCACATGTTCAGCTAGCGTAGCCTCACATGATCTGCTAGCCTAGCCTCACATGATCTGCTAGCCTAGCCTCACATGATCTGCTAGCCTAGCCTCACGTGATCTGCTAGCCTAGCCTCACATGTTCAGCTAGCGTAGCCTCACATGATCTGCTAGCCTAGCCTCACATGATCTGCTAGCCTAGCCTCACGTGATCTGCTAGCCTAGCCTCACATGTTCAGCTAGCGTAGCCTCACATGATCTGCTAGCCTAGCCTCACATGATGAGGTGGACCGGTAAGCCAGCGGAAGGCGTCAATGACTAAAGGCTACAGTTAGCGGTTAATCATACTAAGACGTATGTCGGGAAGCATTAGTCCTGTTTACTGATGACTGTAATATCACCACCACCACCATGGTGATATATCTGTATATACACACACTAATATCTAGTGCTAACTGTGGAGACTCATGGCGTCGCAGGTGATAATGTGGTTTTGAAGACAAATATTTGATTTCTCCCCAAGGCCGTTTAAATATTCCACTTCTACCCCACCTGTTATAAATGCACATTAAAGATTTATGTTTGATAAAAGGATACAAGTGCAACTAATGTGACTTTTATTTGTAACAACGTTTTGCTCTCCAGTTTTGTCAAGCTCTCACATAGCCCCTGGAGAGCGATACGTTGCCACATTAAAATGTCACATTAGTTACACATTATTTACCCAACATTCTGTTGGTAATTCTACCACTATTAATAATTACAGATTTAAGTATCAGTATATATACACATTTATCTTTCACTGTGTAGATACAAAAAATTACAGTAATGCCTATTTTAAGGATTAAAACCATTTTTTATTAGTGTTTTAAGGGTAACTTTACTCACTGGATCAGCAGGATTACATTCAGTGGGTTGCAAATCTGAACGCCTCCGCCAGCTGGAGGGCCTCCAGGGGCTGTAGTCCTTAGGTCTCCACCAGCTGGAAAGCCTCCGCCAGCTAGGGGCTTCCATCAGCTGGAGGGCCTCCAGGGGCTGCAGTCCATAGGTCTATACCAGCTGGAGAGCCGCCGCCAGCTAGGGGCTTCCATCAGCTGGAGGGCCTCCACCAGCTGGGGGCTTCCACCAGCTAGAGGGCCTCCATCAGCTGGGGCTTCCACCAGCTGGAGGGCCTCCACCAGCTGGAGGGCCTCCACCACCTGGGGGCTTCCACCAGCTGGAGGGCCTCCACCACCTGGGGCTTCCACCACCTGGAGGGCCTCCACCACCTGGGGCTTCCACCACCTGGAGGGCCTCCACCACCTGGGGCTTCCACCAGCTGGAGGGCCTCCGCCAGCTAGGGGTTTTCACCAGCTGGAGGGCCTCCGCCAGCTAGGGGTTTTCACCAGCTGGAGGGGCCCCCAGGGGCCTCACAGTACCTGTAGCCCAGGGGCCTCACAGTACCTGTAGCTCAGGGGCCTCACAGTACCTGTAGCCCTGGGGCCTCACAGTACTTGTAGCCCAGGGGCCTCACAGTACCTGTAGCTCAGGGGCCTCACAGTACCTGTAGCCCAGGTGTTCTCACAGTATCTGTAGCCCAGGGGCATCACAGTACCTGTAGCCCAGGGGCCTATAAAAATCTTAATTTGGCTCTATACACGTCTTGTTTATCTACAATCAGTAGGGTTGTTTGGTAAATGATGATATTGTATGTAGCCAGCTATTAAGCAATCAACTGGTAGGGAGACAGCTATTATGCAAGCAGCTGGTAGAGAATCAGCTGTTAAGCAATCAGCTGATAAGAACAGATATAACTATCCTATCTGGACCAGACTGAAGTACAATTCCTTGTCTTCCCCAGAATTAGCATGACCCATTAAAACAATCTCCAATTTCCAATCATAAAATTATATGAGTAATAGAAGAATATCAGGTTTGATCCGAGGTAGGCTAGGGTAACTCCAATTCCCTAAATCAAGAGCCCTTCGCCACCCTTCGAAGGGTGTGATTATCATTACTGCGACACGAAGGGTGTTTTTGGTGCCTTGGCTCAAGCGGTAGCGTTCTGAGTTCACATCTGAAGAACCTGGGTTTGATCCAGGGACGACTGTGATGAATGGTTTAGAAAACCGACAAGTTGAAGAATTGAGACACTTATGCAACACATGGGAATCTTTATTGAAGAAACGTTTCGCCACACAGTGGCTTCATCAGTCCAATACAAAGTAGAAATGGGTAAGGAGAGTAGTAGTTTGATGTAATCAGTCCCTCAACCTGGAATCGATGTGTTCAGGTTGAGGGACTGATTACCTCAAACTTCTCCTCTCCTTACCCATTTCTACTTTGTATTGGACTGATGAAGCCACTGTGTGGCGAAACGTTTCTTCAATAAAGATTCCCATGTGTTGCATAAGTGTCTCAATTCTTCAACTTGTCGGTTTTCAAAACCATTCATCACATCTGTCAGACACTGCAACATCATGGGATCTTGGTACAAAGACTTCAACGCTTGCCCAACCTTTGGACGACGACCTACTTACACTAGTGGCAGGTCCCACTGTGATCCCGCCTCCTCCTGCTTCACCTCATCTCACTGCAGTATATAAGCCACCTCTCTGGCCCTACCTTAAAGAAAGTCATGGAGACAGACCGCTCCTTCACCCTGGAGGAACTGGATTCTCGGCAGAAGGTCAACAAGGGTGTAGTGATGCGATACCCGCTCATGATGCCCATCGAGGCAGTAGCAGCTCACCCCAGTGTCGTGTCAGCTCAGCGTCTCAAGGCAAAATCGGCAGGCAACGCACCAACCCGGCAGGTCCTCATTCAGCATGTAGGATCGCTGCCATCCCAGCTGGACCTCGGTTCTTGGGGCAGGTACGATGTCAGGACCTTCACGGCAGAACCAGTTAGCTGTTTCGAGTGCCAGCTTTACGGACACCTGGGTGCACTCTGTCCGAACAGAGTAATCTGCGGTGTCTGCAGCCAGCCCCACCCTACCGATGAATGCATCACCAAGCTGAAGAATGCATCGCCACCCACTCCACGATGCCCGAATTGCAGGCAGAAACACCATGCCTGGAACCCTCGATGCCCTGAGAGGCTCACTAGAATTCGTGAGGCCTGGAAGACACCAACGACGAGACAGCAGGCTACGGCAGAGCATCACCCTCAGCAGACGATGGGTGCAGAAAATCCTGCCATACTGCAAAACTCTCATCAGGCAACCCAGCTCAATGCCCAGGAATTTCCGACCCTTGAAGACTCAACCAGGCGTCATGAACAGGAGCATCCTCCCCCACTACCGCAACGAAGAAACAAAAACACGAGGAACAAGCGGCGCCAACAGGAAACATCTGGGCAACGCAATCAGCAGACGGCACTACACGAGCCCCTATCGGCCTCCTTGCCAGGCACAGCCACTATGCAGGCTGTGGCTGCACCTCACCAGCAGATGCCGGGTACGCAACTTGGCATACAGCAACAGCCCATGGTGTGCACAGTGAAGAAATACAACCCTCAGCAGTCCCCACAGATTACAACAGCCCAGATAATATCCACTGCTTCGAACCCACCGACAACGCAGGCCCTCAACAGAGAGGATCTCTTAACACTCAACAAGGCATTCACGGATATTATCTGCAACACAATCACCTCCACGGAACAACAGAGCATGTTCCGGCAGATGGTCAGCACACTCCTGAGGGTGTGCTTACTGACAGAACAGGAAACAGTGGATGCCATGAATCTGCAAATTATCAGAGCGGACAGAGCCCAGTCCCCAGCTCAGGAAACAGCTGAGATGGAGTAACCTCAGTCGCTTATGAGGCACACTAGCTGAACTGTCCGGAACAGTGCTTGAGCAGCATATGCTGCAACAGTGAAGAATCAATTCTCCTTCAGGAGCCAGAGACGGGTCATCTCAAGATTAAGACCCGTGCTAGGAGCCTGGTCTTGGCGAATATTATACATACAATATTATACATACCTATGCTGCATTTCCTACATGAGTGATGGACTGAACACATCGATTCCAGGTTGAGGGACTGATTACCTCAAACTTCTCCTCTCCTTACCCATTTCTACTTTGTATTGGACTGATGAAGCCACTGTGTGGCGAAACGTTTCTTCAAAAAAGATTCCCATGTGTTGCATAAGTGTCAGGGACGACTGGAAACACTGGGCATGTCTGAAGAATTTGACACGTGCAACAACTGGGTTGGGTTTGAGTTTGACAAGGACCTGCCTAGCATGGGCCAGTAGACCTTCTGCAGTGTTCTTCCTTTATGTATCTTTTATTATAGAGACGTTTCGCCAACCAACAGCTTTATCAATACAGAAGACTGAAGAAGTTGAAGATGAGGTAATCAGTCCCTCGTCCTAAGAGCAGTGTTCTGATATACCTTTGATGAGCCTTTCTACTACCGAAGCCCGGTCATGGATCAGGTTCGTCTGGTGCTAGCCTGGTCAACCATTCTTTTGCTTCTGGTGGCCCGCAACCCCAGTACCATAGATTCATCAAGACTTCGGTACTGAACACCTGCTCATTGTATTGTATTGGTAAAGCCACTTGTTGGCGAAACATCTAGATAATAAAGACATCCAGTTGGTGCACACAGGTATCTGATTCATCAACTTGTTAGTATTATATACCACTGATGCTATAATACTGGCATGTTTCCTTGCATGGGGCAGTAGGCCTGCTGCAGTGCTCATTCTTCATGTTCTTATGTGTTGTTCCTGGTCGTCTAACAGGAGGTAATGGCAGTAGTAACACATCCATTGTGGCACACATCAACCTCGTCTGCTACACGTCCCTCTTCACTGACACCTATGTAAGCGCCAGTCTCCTTACCTGTGCTTCAGAATCTCTACAACCACGGTGCTGTAAACACCACCTCCAAGGCTGAGGGACTGATTACCTCATCTTTTGTATATAGTTCTTCTGTTTTCTAATTATGTCCAAGAATCTGTATTGATAAAGCCACTGGAGGGCGAAACGTCTACAATAAAGATAACCAGATGTTGCACAAGTGTCTTAATCTTTCATCTTGTCGGTACTGTATACCTGTCTTGCACAACCAGATAACTGCTGCAGTATATGGGCGCCTGGCAAACCTGAGAATAGCGATCCGATACCTCAGTAAGGAATCGTTCAGGACTCTGTGCACCCTGTATATCAGACTCTGTACACCGTGTACGCCAGGCCCATACTGGAGTATGCATCACCGGTTTGGAACCCACACCTGGTCAAGAACGTCGAGAAATTAGAGAAAGTGCAAAGGTTTGAAATGAGACTAGTCCCGGAGCTAACAGGCATGTCGTAAGAGGAGAGGTTAAGGGAAATCGGCTTGACGATACTGGAGGACAGGGGTGACATGATAACGACATATAAAATACTGAGGGGAATTGACAAGGTGGAAAGAGACGAGATGTTCCAGAAATGGGACACAACAACAAGGGGTCACAACTGGAAGTTGAAGACTCAGATGAATCACAGATATGTTAGGAAGTATTTCTTCAGTCATAGAGTTGTCAGGAAGTGGAATAGCCTAGCAAGTGATGTAATGGAGGCAGGATCCAAACACAGTTTTAACAAGAGGTATGATAGAGCTCATGGGACAGTGAGAGAGTGGATCTAGTAGCGACCAGTGAAGAGGCAGAGCCAGAAGCTACGAATCTACCCCTGCAACCACAATTAGATAAGCACACAAACACACACACACACACATTGCAACATGGCAATTGTTGTTCGTGCTTCACGTGCCCACAACTGACATTTGTTGACAATAGCAATTGTTGTTTATTCCACAATCATCCACAACACAAGTGACACATGTTTACAAAAGCAATTGCTCATTGCTCAACACGTACATAAAGCTAAGTGACATTTGACGCTTGGGTGATATAACATTTTTTAAAGTGAAAAAAGTGGAGTAACCTGCACTTTGCCACCATCTGAGTTTATGTGAGTGGCGAGTGTCTATTTTTTTAAGTAAAACTGGATATATCAGCCTGCTGTGCAAGTGAAAATAAATGGTATAAAATACCGACACACTGGAAACATAAACACATATGCAGTTTAATGAGATCTGTTTGTGACTTGAAAAAGCCCACTGTGTGGGCGAAACGTTGTCAATAAAGGCTCACATTAAACTGCATATGTGTTTATGTTTCCAGTGCAGTTGAAACGTTTAGGCAATAAAGATACTGTTAGTTACGGGGACTGTGGCAACGTTTCCTCCTCCAGGAACTTTGTCAAGCCATTGCCAGAGCTCCTGGAGAGCGAAACGTTGCCACAGTAAAAT